AGAATTTAAATGTAAGAAAAAAAAAAAAAAAAAAAATTGTTAAATACCTATCCTTGTGTTAAATTATAAAATAATAAAAAAAAAAAAAAATAATTTATTTTACATGTTTTTATTCTGTTTATACACACATATTATACTGCAAAAATGTACAATATATTTAAAATTCAACCATAATATTTAAATTTTTTAAAGATTATTATTATTTTTATTTTATATTATTGAAATAATGTCTATAAGTTAAAATTTATATCATATTTTATCCATATTAAATATACATTATACCAATATTTTTTTTATTTTAACAATATTTCTTCTTATTTGATAAATATATTTTATTTAATTTTTATGATATTCTTTTTTTAATATTAATTTTTTTCTTCTCCGCTTATATCCAATGTGTGAAAGTTTTTATGTAGAATTTTTTAAAACATTAATATTTTGTTTCTTTTTCTTTTCTTTTTTTTTTTTTTTTATTAATTTTTAAAAAGAAATTTTTTTTATTATATTTTTATACAATTAATGATACATTTTTTTTAAATGTTACAAAAACAAAATGTGTATAAATATAATAAAGATATGTTGCATAATTTTAAAAATATAACTTTTTACATATTTATAAATGAAATAATACATGATGTAATAATCAATATCTTATCAACTTACAAAATTATTTCTGAAAATCAATTATTTTTATTTCCATGAAGTTCATCAACAATTTTTTTTTTTATTTCTTTTTAAGATATTTTTTTTTTTTTTTTTTTTTTTTTTTTTTATTNTTTCTGAAAATCAATTATTTTTATTTCCATGAAGTTCATCAACAATTTTTTTTTTTATTTCTTTTTAAGATATTTTTTTTTTTTTTTTTTTTTTTGTTACTTTATTGATTAATTATTTAATGTACATAATATTTAATGAAATAAATTTTTCTTTGCATTTTTTCCTTTTATCCAATTTCTGTTATAATTTAAAATTTTATTGTAATAAAATAAACTTTACATATATGCTTTTATACAATGAAAACACCAGAATTCAGTTTAGATTCTTTAAAAAAGAAAAATAGAAAAAAAAAAAAAAAAAATTTGAATTACGAAAAACTAAGCGCGCATTACTTCCTAAAGTTACCAATATTTATAATATTGATGATTGCATTTTCTTTAAATGCATTTATATATTTATTTATTAGATTTTTTATATATTTTTTTGAAAACGTATCCTTTTATATAATAACTAAGTATAAAGATTTTAGTAGATGCGTAAAAAAAAAAAACTATCTGAAAGAAAATAAGGATGAAGCATTTTATAAGAAAAATGAAAGTACTTTAAAGATTGAGCGTTTAATGAGAGCTTGTAATAATTATTATGATTATATTAAGTATGCATATCGAATGGATGTTCTAACAGGAAAAACTGTACATATAAATGAAAATGATGATTATATAAATACATATGATGTAAATTTATTAAAAAAGACATCTGAAAGTATAAAAAATAATTTATTAAATAATGATATTTTACTACTTCTTGAAGATATTAAAATCGCGACATCACCTCAAATAAAAGGAGTGTTTCAAGAAAAATATTATTGTAAAACATATTCTTCACCACATATAATAATAACTGATTTTATCAATAATATATTAAATGGATTAAATTATATAGAAAATTATGTAAAAGAGCAAAAAGAAAAAAATTATAATTACCTATCATCAGATGAATATTTATTAATTAAAAAATATTTTAAAGAAATATTTCGGCAATGGGGGAATACAGCATTATTTTTGAGTGGTGGTGCTATTTTAGGATTACATCATTTTGGTGTTTTAGAAACCTTTTTAAAATCATCCATTAATATTGATTACATTAATAATTTTACTAAAACAAATATGAAAAAAGAAAATATTTTAAAAACGAAAAAAAAAAGTGTATTCTTTAAAAAAAAAAATCATTGTAACAAAAATAATAGTATTGATATGAAAGATAACTTAAAAATAAACAATTTATTTTTAAAAGAAAAAAAAATGAAGAATAACAAAAATAGAAATGTTACTAATATTACTTCTAATCGTAATAATATTTCTCTAATGCATAATGAATTGAAGTTTTTTCATAATAATGATATAAAAACAGAAGAAAGTAATAATACTGAGGATACTGAACAAATTAAAAGAAAATTAAAAAATAATATAAGTAAAAATAGTTTTAATTGCATAAATAAAATAAAAAATGAAAATAATGATGACCAAATAAAATTCAAAGATAACATGAGAAATCTAAAAATTAAAGAAAGTGTTATAAACTCACAAGAAAAAGATGTGAATAATTTTGGTAAAAAAATTGAAGATAATTTTATAAAAAACAATAAAAAAGATTATTTTTTAGGTAATTCAGAAAATGATTTTGTTAAAAATTTTGAAGATAATATTATGCCACAAATAATATGTGGGACTTCAGCTGGAAGTATAATTGCAGCATGGATATGTTCAAGAACCAACAAAGAATTGTTAGAAGAATTTAATATTGAGTTTATTTATAATATCGTTTCATGTTTTTCTTCAGAAAATCGTTTTTATTCTTTTTTTAATATTTATAAAAAGGGAAATTTTTATGATATTGATAAAATTGTAAAAATTATTTATAAATTATATGGTGATATAACATTTTTAGAAGCATTTATTAAAACTAATTTAGTATTAAATATTACTGTTACTAGAGCTGAATGTGAAAATAACAATTTTAGTTGTGATGAAGATGGTCATATTGTTTTAAATTATATGAGTTCACCAAATGTTTTAATTTATACAGCTGTACTGGCTAGCTGTTCTTTCCCCTATTTATTGCAACCATTTAAATTGTTAGAAAAAAAATATAATAAAGAAAATGTTTATCACTTTATGTCAATAAAGCAAATAAATAATTCAAAATTAATATTACATAGTACTAGTAATGATACATATAATCAAGGAATTTCAATGAAAGAAGATGATGCCTTCCCAAATTCAAATACTGGAAGTATGGATAGTAAATATGAAAAAAAAGAGGATAATTTAAATAAAGATAATTCGAATAATGTTAAAAATAATTGTTACAATAATTATTTTATTTCAGATAATACAAAAAATAAATATAATGAAATATATGAAAAAAAAGATTCTTATTATGGAAATGTTGATATATATATAAAAGGGAAGAATAATCATAGTAAAAATGTTTCACAAAAAAGAAATAATGTAGATAATACATTCAATAAATCAAATAAAAAATATTTACATAAAAATAACCAAGATAAAATAAATAAAAAAATGGATAAAATTATATCTAAAAGTGATAACAAAATTATAAGTAAAGATACATCAGATTTCTCTATGGAAAACGAAATCAGCAACACAGAAAATGAAACGAAAATTAAAAACACATCTGATATTTCTGATATGTTCATTGATGACTTAAAAAATTTGATGATAAATAATGATGAAATGCAGAAACACAATAAAAAAACTTTGAATAAATTTTCTACAGAAAAAATATTAAAAATTGAAAATTGTGATAGTGAATATGAAAAAATAAATGACATTAATTTAGAGGAAAATAAAAGGAAGCTTAAAATAAATAGTAATAATGAAAATGTAATAAAGAACGGAAATTATGAAAAACAAAAGAATAATGAATCTATTGATTTTAATGAATATAAAAATATAAATTTATTAAATGAAGAATATACGATAATAAATAGTGTTCAATTTAAAAATATGTATTTTCATGATGGTTCATTAAAAAGCGATATACCAGCACGTAATTTAAATCAAATATTATCTGTTAAGTACAGAATTGTTTCACAAGTAAATCCTCATGTATTTCCATTTATCGGTGTAAGAGTTCATGGTGAAGCTGGAAAGCCAGTTAATTGGAGAGGGAATTATGGTAATTGGAGAGCTGGGTTTTTAATGTCATGTATGGAAATATTATTCAAAGAAAACATGAGATATATTTTAAGATTAATGGCTTTATTAGATCTATCACCAACAATTAGAGGGTTAAATGCTGGTTCAATAGCTATGCAAGTAAAATAAAAAAAAAAAAAAAAAAAAAATGCATTATGATATATATATTTATGTATGTGTGTGCAACTTTTATTTATTTTTTTTTTTTTTTTTTTTTTTTTTTTTGTTTATTGGAATATTTGCTGAATCTCTCTATATTTAATTAAGAAT